TTCTGTCCATATTGGAACACATAAACACTGATGTGATATATCTTTACAAAGCTCATATTAGCCCATTGACCAGGTCAGGATCTCAGAACTTTAAAATAAATGTATCAATAATATCCAAAGGCACATCAAGTAGAGATCAGGGGACTATTCCATCAAAGTGGCTAAATGTTAATCCTGGCTTACTTTGATAGGTCCGGCTGTTTTAAGTGAGAGATCCATTCGATGACTCTGGCTTTAATTAAATCCTGCTCAGTCACCATGGTAACTTGTGCTTCTAAGCTAGCCTGCTCAGTACCAGGTTTACGTTTTAGCTATGTTTGGCTCAAAGAATTTCAGATGGGTTCAGAGGGGTGGAAACAAGTTGTCGAAAGACGGTTCCTCCCAAAGTTTTTATCATTCTCACGCTCTTAATGTCCATGATCAGAATGTTTTTTAAGCTTTAATAAATTAAAAAATAAAGTTGAAATAAATTCAAAGATGCAGACATTTGTAAAACATTTTCTGTTTGGTCTTAACTCTTTTTTTCTGCATTTCTGTAGCTGCAGACAAAGTTATACTGGCTCCATTTTCCTGCAAATAGTACACTTCAGATAAAAAAGAATGAATGAATGACATTAGTGTTAAGAAAATAAGACCTAATCACACATGGCTCATGTAAAACATCTTGTGATTAGGCTCTAAATGAAATATTGTGTCTCCACTCACAAATATATAAAGGACTAGTGTTAGTTAGGATAATTACAGTGAGAGACTGATAACTGTTGAGGAAAAGAAGTAAAAACCTTGGACATAGCGCCCTCATCACAGACGTGCCTCCCCCTCTATTCCGTCTGTGTCAAAAAGTTTAATCTGTGGTAAAATTCCGCAGCTTCTTATATTAATACTAACTTTTAGCTTTAACTTTGTGAGTTCGCTCCCTCCGCATAACTTTTATTTTTCACATGTGGCTTTAATCCTAATTTGTTGTAGGAAACTCTCACATTCAATCTATCAGATATTTTCTGTCGTGACGTCTTCATTTCCTGGGAAATAGTTTTTGTGTCTTTCAGGGACTTGTGTCCTCTTTTCTACAATCGATTATTCTGGGCTGCCTGCAAATGCCCAATGATGAGACCCAACTGAATTGTGTTAGTGGAACAGTTTAAGCCTCAAGTGGCAGTTGAAGCTAATTCAAGCCCCTCCCCCCGTAAAGGCTGCTTATGTACAACCATCAACATTTCATTTTTCCAAGATAAACAAAGTCTGGTCTCAAAATTAACATGGGGAGGGTTAGAAAAAAAAATAGTCAAAAAAAAAGAATACAGACCCATAATTAATATATATGTGTTATATTTCTGTGCATGTCTCATACCCAGGTATTGACTCTGCTGATAAACTCTGCCTACAAGCCAAGTCGCGTGCTGAGAGAGCTGCAGCTGGACCAGGAGAGCCGCTGGCAAGGCTATGGAGAGACACTCAAAGCCAAGTGAGTGGAATCACCATTTAATCCTCAGATAAATGTCTCCACTCTTAAGAAATAACACAAGTGTTCACAGCTGGTCTACTTTAAGAAACATTTTGAAATTTCAATTATTCTTAAATGTATCTCTGATACTACATAGCAGTGATTTAACCGATAGCACGTGTTACTTCTTGTTGGTTCTAACGCTTATGATTATGATTATGAGAGGGAAGAGTCATATTTTCATCTTTTTCAATTTAGTATTCTGCAAAAATACCTTGTAACACATTTGTCATAATTTGGTTACGTTGCTTTTAATCACATTTCAGGTACAAGGGGAAGAGTTACCGGGCCACTGTGGAAATAGTGCGCACTGCAGACCGTGTGGCAGACTTCTGTAGGAAAACCTGCATCAAGCTGGAGTGCTGCCCGAACCTGTTTGGACCTCGCATGGTTCTGGAGCGCTGCTCTGAGAACTGCTCTGTCCTCACCAAGACCAAATACAGTACGTGCTTTACACACATACACACGGCTGATTGTTGAACCGTTAAATGATTTATCACATTATTAATAAAGCGATGAACATAAAAGCTAGTGACTGATTATTGGTGGGTTGAAACTATAACAACTTGCTTTTCAGTTGCGACCTTAATGAAAACAATATTCAGACATTTTCTCTCATTTAGCTCACAGCTCATTCGGTTTTTCTTTTGTTCAGAGACGTCCAGTTCTTTTTTGTCAAGCTGCTCATGTGTAGAAAGGATCCATGGGTAGATAAATACTCAAAAGAAATTCTGTGAAGCAGAGGGACAATAACACAAACTGAGTGCAGCTTACATTAACTGCATCGGTCTCTGGTCAGGTTTGGACACAAAATACAGAATGTCTGGCAGGTTCAAGTCAGGGTTGTTGGGTTTTCTCTCTGGCTCAAGAACTGATGATAGTAACACACGTAAGATTACTGTCTCTTTTGTCTTGTACTTTTCATAATAATCCTGACACTATCAATCATCTTATTTTACAATACTTGTCCCATTGAGAATGTACGTATTTTAGAATACACATAGTGTGATGGATTTTTTTGCCCCTGCTGTAAATTTCCCATCAGTTTCTCAATACTATATTAAAATCCCTCAGGCATGTCAGATGCAACACAATAAGCCTGTTCTCTTGTCTCCAGCGTATTATTATGGTAAGAAGAAGAGTAAACGTGTGGGCCGTCCACCGGGGGGCCACTCCAACCTGGAGGGTGGAGTGAAGAGAAGAGGCAGGAGGAGGAAGAGGAGGAAGCAGCTCTTTGTCCATAAGAAGAGACGCTCCTCAGCCTCTGTGGATAACACACCTGCTGGTTCTCCACAGGTAACACACACACATTCTCTTCATTAAGCATTACATCACAGGAGTCACAGGTGACGTCATTGTGAAACTAGCATTTTAACTTTCGGTTCTAATATGAATCTGTGTCAGTATACTGAATTAATTTATTTATGGTTATCTTATCTTTGGGTTGCAGGGCAGTGGAGAGGAAGAGGATTTAGATGAAGATGATTCTCTGAGTGAAGACTCTGGCTCAGAGATGCAGGACGATCTCCAGGATGATTCTGAACAATCTGTTGGCAAGTCTCGGGCAACCACACCATCCCCCTCCCCGCCAGCGACACCCAGGCCCACACGCCGACGCCGGAAACCACGCTCACCCTCTTTCTCTGATGATGAGAACCGCCCTCCATCACCAAAGGTGATGTTAGAAAAAGCCTAATGCTCTGACAATACATTTTACAAACAAATATTTATGATTTTATAGCCGTGCTTCTAAACAGTATATCTGTGAGGAATACAAAAAAAGTACAACTAGATCAGTTCTGCACCCTGACCCATTAAATGTAATTGTTTATTCACCTCAATAATATATTGAAGTACAGTCTACGTTTCTAGCAGGAGGTGTCTCATAATGTTAAAGAAAGTATAAAAAATGCTCCTGGTTGAGTCCCTTTGTCCAGATCTGCACCAAACTTTATTACTGCAGAAAAAAGCCTACCGCAATGAAACTACATTTAAATCCACTCAATCCAAATTATTATTTGGATCTGCTGATTGCACAAACTCTTAGATATGAATAGTGTAAGTTTATATATATATAAACATGCTTTATTCTCTTGGTCCATGTCGCATCCTTCCCACCAAGTTTTGTAGAAATCGATTCTGTCAGTTATGTGTAATCCTGCTGACAAAGGGGACGGGTTGAAATATGTCCTCGCTGGAGTTGATGTTTCCACCCTGTTATGCTCCATTCCGTCATCCTTTAACAAAAATCCTCTCATAATTGCTGTTTCTCTGTGACCTGAAGTTTTCTCTCTGATTGCTGTCTTCACAGTATGAATCGTAAGGGTTAAATATGTTGTGAGCTTTTCCACTTCTTTCCACTGTGAGATCTCTGAGCCTCTGTCTGACTCACCTCATCTCTGATTATAGACCTCAAAGACTGAGCCTCCTCAAAAGTTGTGTTTGGACACCAGCCCCCTGGAGTGGAGCGTTACTGATGTAGTTCGCTTTATCAGGAGCACTGACTGTGCACCTCTTGCAAGGATTTTCTTGGATCAGGTAAGAAATACTCACAGACTTAATGGCCTCTCAGGATGAGAGCTTGCTCCACTCTACTGCAACAAGTGCACTTGTATCGTATCCAGGGTCGGTCACCCATCAAACCCGCTATAGAAAGTTAAGCCAATAACAAACTATACATAGAAAATGCCTCTCATATAGATGTATGTATTTATAGGAGATTGACGGACAAGCTCTGCTCCTGCTGAACCTCCCGACGGTGCAGGAGTGCATGGACCTGAAGCTGGGACCGGCCATCAAGCTGTGCCACCACATCGAGAGGGTCAAACTGGCATTTTATCAACAGTTTGCCACGTAGCTGACGGGGAATGAACATTGATGGACACGACTACATCCTGTTCTGTGTATTAATCCTGTGAAAACACTGTATTTTCCCATTTTGACTTTTCTTACACTGGACATCCTTTAGAATCCTGCGTATACATGAGGCATGAAGACAAGAGGGTCCTGATCCTTGAGGGGGGAAAGAAGAGATACTGATCAAAAATAGTAGAGGAGCTCATTACGAGAGAAAAGCACAGGCGAGGACTGAAAGAGAAGAATTCAAGGCCCTTTGTCACAAATAAACCTAAAAGCCTTTATTAAATCAAACATATTTGGACTTTAGTCTATCATGGAAGACATGCTTCTGAGATAAAACAAGTCGGTTTCTCACCATGTTCTTACGAGAACCTTTTTACCCTTGTGTCTTCTGAACGCCTTAGATTCTTGTCTGCTGGAGTCAGAAAATCTTGTGATTTCACACTGAAATAATTTTTCATCAGAAAAAAGATAAACATTTGTGTACACTGAAGATATGACAGCTGACTCACTGAAGCACTTAAAATCGACACAATTATTTTTCACAAAATTAGTTTCACTGCATGAACTCCAAGCTGTATCTATAATTTAAATAGCCTATTTGGCCTTTTAATTGGTGATAATTGTAATTATGAAAATGAATTGTACACAGATAAAAGCCTGAAAGCCGAGGGTAACAGTAAGGTAGATAAATGGTTATAGCAAATCTGAGTCATTGTTGGTTATTTAAGTGTGAACACCAGACACATGTCAGCTCCACAACAAATGCAATGGGTTCTTCATCTCATGACATCAAACTGCTTTCTCCTTCAAGTGTCTGTGAATACCAGTCTGCAGGGCGAGGGTTCAGTAATGGAAGCACAAGCAACACCATGTACTGTTGGATGGTATGCAAATATGATGGTGCATGTTTGTATATAGTGTACATAATCAAATATCTTTTAGAGCAACAGGGTGTTAAGAAAACTATTGAGCTGTTAACTTTCTGCATAAGCAATGAGCAGATGCCCTGAATACACAGGCACATGATGTTTGCACATAATATGCCAACACCTCCTCACACGGGGAGGGGTTAACAAATTCAGCTTCAGTGGATTATTTGAGCCATTTCATATCTTTGAATAGTTGTTATTTTTAAACAATTTAACTTGATGGGCAGTTTCAAAGCGAGAAGCTTTTCTCTAAATGTTTTTGTATCTGAGTTGTTCCTCTCTTTACCAGTTCCTGTAGCGTGGTTTATTGTCATGTGCTTCATTTTGTGTGAGAAAACCCTGCAGTGGGAGTTGTTTACTCATGTGCTTGTACTTACAGCAATGGAACATATTGTTATATCATGTTTAAAAAGATTATTACAGCTATTTAATGAGAAATCTGCAATAAGAAAATTAAAAAAAAACAAAAAAAACGAGTTTTTGTCTCTCGACCTTTTCACCTACAACTCCCAGTGTGCAGTTCGCGTGTACGCAAGTCACATGACCGTGCGTCTGGTCTGTCAACATGAGTGGGCTCTGCTGGGCAGGGGAGCTGCAGGACCTCCTCTCACCGTGACCTGCAGATATCCATGAAATTCGTTTTAACCGCAGAGGAGCAGCCGGTGCAGGAGTCAGAGTGAGAGGTGAACAGTGCACAGCCTGGTGGTTACTGACAGCAAGTAGAAGTTAGCTCCTCTGGCGTCAACGCCATGGAGCTGAAGAGTTAGCTTGGATGCTAGCTAGGTAGGTGATGGTAGCGGTGTCTCAGCCGCCGTATCTTCATTTTTTTTCACATTGACGTTTTATCAGCGGGAAGTGAATCACTCCTGACGTATTCACTTTCACTTCACTTCGGGATTAAGATAAGTTATGTGGACTGTTTAAGTAGTTATGAGACAGTAGCTGCAGCCGGCTCCTGTCCCCGGTGTTAGCTCGCAGATAAGGAGACTCCAGGACGAGCCTGGGAATGTTTCCTCTGCGTGACGGACCTTTTTTAACCTGATAGTAGTTTTTAAATGTGTGAGTGTAGTGTAAGTGTAAACAGTGGTTAGCAGGAGTCTCACATAACGGTTTTATAACTTCTGGTTAGCGGGTTGAGGCTCGGCTTTACTTGGAACAGCCATGTCTCCATGGGTGTCTGGAGCCGGAGGATGAGTGCGCGCTGGCGATGCAGAGGATGCCACCATCTTCCACCGGAGACTGTCCCGCTGAACCTATCGATTAGCTGACCCGTCAACCGCTGGAGAGCAGCGGGGGTCTCTGCTACTGCACCCCGGCTTTAATCGTTTCGTCTCGCCCCGCTCCTGTGTCCCATGGCGGCTGTTAGCGGGGTCAACATGCAGTCCCAGCTCGGAGATGTGGCGCTGGCGGGTCCCGGCGGAGCGGTGCTGCCCGCCGGGTCCATCACCAACACCTCGGCGTCTTCCAGCCCCACGCCAGGCACCGATGTACGAGGGTGTGAGAACGGCGCCCTCATGGACTCCTTTGGGATTTTCCTCCAGGGACTTCTGGCCATGATGGCTTTCAGCACGCTGATGTGTGAGTATGGACACAGAGAGGATCTGCTGTGTGCCTCTGATATCTGACACCAGCTGCTCATGTGCAATGAAGCAGAGCTCTGGTAACAAATGCATTATTGATCACAGCAGACAGGATCATGTCTGACTCCAGAACAGAGGAAGACTTACGTGACAGAAGTAGAAATGCTCTCTCTTGCTGTAAATCTGAATGCAGAGGTTTGACTCGGTGTAACACTACATCTGGTAACTTCCTCTTTACAGTGGTAATAAGAGCTGCTCACTCTCTACATTTGCGTGCACATGATCCTGCCACACAACATCTATTATATCCCTACCAGATTCAAATTCAATAATTAAAAGGGCGTTATAGGAAGCAGCAGTGTTTTATTGTATTTATATGGCATGTTTCCAGTTTTCTCAGCCTCTCAACATGCTTGTACAAGTTGCATTCATACTTCTGTCACACCAGTCAGTATGTGGACCAGTGTTTTGCACAAGAACACTTTGGTAAGCACACTGGAATCGAACCACCACTGCTTACACTGATTATGTGTATTTGAACTTTCTTCCAGCTCATGTGCAACACTGATATGCATGCAAAAACAAAATTGTAGTAGTGTGACCTTTTTTAATGTAAAGTACACTACTTCAATGACTAATATTAAATATATGCTCCGGCTGATTCTTCACACTTAAAAAATACTTATTTTAAAGAGACATGTTTTGGTGGCATGCGTAGTTTGCAATGTAGTTTTTTTCACAACCATGCAAATATTACCACATTAAACTACAAACAAGACCAACATGGAACTGATAGCCTTGATCAGAATATATCACAAAACACTCAGCTTGGTTGTAGGAAAGGCAATGGATATTTACTGTCTCCAGTTTGCAAGATAACATAGTGTATCATGAGTTATTCTCTACTCTGCAATCTTCAATCATGTATTTACTTTTTGTATAATTTTGGGGCTCTGATATTCTTTCACATCTGTAATAGTTGACATAGGTCCTAAATTTCCTTCATAAGGATTTAAATAGGTCTTAAATTTAACTTGTTGACCTGCAGAAACCCCCTAGCAGGAACTAGTGAATGTTATTTTCACCAACTTCTTTTTTACAACTGCTGTCTGAGTAATTTTCTTGTGCTTTTTTCCATCTCTGACTTTGTGTTAGCATCAGCATGTTTTTTTTTTTAGTTACATGGAAACACTGCCACAGAAAAAAAATTACAGTCAAGATTTTGCCATGGTTCCATTCAGTCAGCCTGAATTGTGTGCATCCCTGCAGCCTCACAGTGGTGAGGACTGTTTAAGCATTTTGCTGGAGGCAGCTCCCTGAGTTAGAGGAGTTGACTGAGGCCTCCACATGTGTTCACACGACATCCAGCTGCATGCAGGGTGTGTTCAGTCTGAAGTCACACTCAGAGCAGACACTGAGGTCATAGCTAATTGTAAAACTCGCCCACATGAAAACACAAAAAGCTCTCAGTAAATGTTCGGGCAACACTTCAGCATTTGGTGTGAATTTAGCGAGATGAAATTGTCTGATGAAGTCTGTGCAGCTCACAGTGTCACAGCTTAGACCGATAGTCAGAGTCCGTTTCTGATAAGTAAATCAGTCATGTAACAACAACAGTGAAGCTCCCCTGTCACCATGCAGCTGTGTCGTAGCATTTAAAAGCGGAGGGCAGTCATGATAACAAGCCACTATTGTGAGGAACAGCTAGAGCATTATTTGTGTTGGACATTTCACTGCTTATACTGATGAGCCTTCTTACATTTATCCTCTCAGACTCCTTTTCTACACTCAGTTCTCCTAGAGTTTGTTACTGTTACCTGGAGAGCAGTGCTAACACACAGCAGCATACTGGAAATCACTTCCAGGCAATGTAACACACACAAGGTCTTATCTAATCTATTTTGGATTCTTAATCTTCATAACTTTATTGATACTTTGTCTTTTAGCATGCTCATGCTTGATGACCGGTTGTGATTCACTTCCCCTTTTGGGGAATCTTGAAATAAACATGTTCTTGTTTATTTAGCTGTGAGGTGAAAATAAGGACAGCATGTGAATCGCTTCTGTTTCTGTACATTATATTTGTTCAGTTTTTAGCCACTAGACAACATATTGCCCTTGCCCACTTCTCATTGTGCTACAACAAAGCATCAATACATTCGAAAATAAAGGCTGATGCATCCTTTTTGAGCAGTAACTCAATCACACAAGCAGGCCACAAAGTGAGATATCAAAGTTTCTCCTCTAGCCTACAGAAAAATGAACAGCAGCTATTTGAGCTGAGTTGAGACAGAGAGTGCCTGATGCCTGATACTTTTTCATATCTCACTTTGTATCCTGCTTGTGTGTTAATCTGCTCAAAAAGAATGCATTTGACAGCTCAAAGGAGTCGTAACTTGATTCAAATGAAAATTAGTAGTCTGTTTGATTGATTCTGTGCACCTCTGTGTTTGTGGGTGTGATCTGTAGTTCATATGTCTTCAATTCACAGTGAAACGCTTCCGGGAGCCAAAACGTGAGAGGAGACCCTGGAGGATCTGGTAAGGCAGCTGAGCCAGCTTAAATTCATTTCTGGGAGTGAAGACATTAAATGGACACAAATGAACTGTACTGTGTCTCTGCAGGTTCCTGGATACCTCCAAACAGGCCATAGGAATGTTGTTCATTCACTTTGCTAATGTCTACTTGTCAGACCTCACAGAGGAGGATCCTTGCTCACTGTGAGTCAATCCTGTGTTCGACTACCTTAGAGCTTTCTGATTCTACATGTTACTCATACATCACCCAGAACCTGTTAAAATGATGACTATTCAATCTTGTAGACATAATGTGTCAAACTACAGATGCAGATTCCATTCACTTTTCTTTTTCTCCTAGATACCTCATTAACTTCCTGTTAGATGCATCTCTGGGCATGTTGCTGATCTATGCTGGGGTGAGAGCTGTCAGTGCTGTAGTAGAGTGGAGGCAGTGGGAGTCTCTGCGTTTTGGAGAATATGGTGAGGACCATGTGTCTGAGTGGTGGAGTGTTTTCCCAAAGAGCCTGGAATGTCCAATGGAGGGCAGTAGCTATCCTTAATAATGTGATGTTGCTGTGTCACTTCTTACTACAGCGCTTTCTTGCCTCAAATACACTTTGTACACTCAAGCAGTGAAATCTAGTTACAACTGTGGACAATGATCTGATGTATCTCTATTTTCTCTGTGTGCGTGTGTGTGTAGGAGAGCCAGTGCAGTGCACAGCATGGTTGGGCCAGTGCATCCTCTATATCCTCATCATGATGTTTGAGAAAGTCCTCATCATGCTGGTCCTCCTCATTCCCCAGTGGAAAAAGGTCAGAATAAAGACAAATTATTAGACAAGCTATAATTTTCGTCCAAGTAGAGATGAACTGAATATTTAAAGGGGGAGCAGCACTCTCCAAATCTATCATTGACCTGCAATTTAGACTGTACATGAGACATAGCTCTACAAGTTGCATGGAGCAGCCCTGTCTTTCACTTAGCACGCTGCTTTGAAAGCTCTCGTCTGGATTCTTTACTTGAAAACATTTGGCAGCTTTTGTGTTAGGCTGCTAAAGATGCAGATCATTGCACCAGGTTTTATAGTGTCTGTTTATACTAGTGTAGTGAAAAAGAGACTAAGAGACTTAGATGTCCCCTGACTGGAAATAAAAGCCAGGCCACCAAATCCTAGAATCCCCTAGTCCACCAGTGACAACTGCTCTGCCTCTTAGTCTGTATCTGTTAAAATAGAAATGGAATTCTGTATAACAAACCTTTTTAACATCTGAAGATTAAAGCAGTGCAGACAAAAGCCAGCTTCACGGTTTGTTTGACTTCCTACATGTGGCAGCAGTGGGCCTAAGAGAGCATGCTCTCAGCCGGCTGCAGAGCTGTGGGGGATGGGCAGAGCTGTGCTGGAACAAATCTATTGCTTTCAGTGGAGGGAGCTATGCACAGCGGGCCAGTGGCGCAATGGATAACGCGTCTGACTACGGATCAGAAGATTCTAGGTTCGACTCCTGGCTGGCTCGTTTCAGTTTTCTCGTTTCACATGTTTATCCAAATGACTGATTTACTTTCATTTACTTAAATTTCCTTGCCTGTCGTTGAATAAGTGGGAGAGAGAGAGAGCAGAGCCAGGAGATGCTGAGTGAAAAAATGCACTGCATGCAGCTGTATAATGAAACAGGATTTCAGCTCTGAAAAAGGCCCGTGAAACAGTGATTTAGACTGTAATGAGACATTTCATTACAAGTTACATGGAGCAGCCCTGCCTTTCACTTAGCACGCTGCTTTGAAAGCTCTTGTCTGGATTCTTCACTTAAAAATATTTGGCTTGGGTTGGGCTGCTAAAGATGCAGGTCATTGTGTCTGTTTATACTCATAAAATCACTTTTCAGACATGACCTACAGGTAAAATCTGGACAATACGCTACAGAGTTTTTCCGGCAGAGATCATGATTTTCTATACAACACCAGTGTCGGCTCTTATCGCCACAAACTCTCTAAACATCTTTGTCTGTCTTCTTCTTGTATGACACTGTTTTTTTCACTGGAAGATATTTGTTTTCTTTTAGTTGTTTCATTTTTGCGTCGGTTACGTGTATGTAGCGTAATCATCCCCCCCCTACATTCTACAGACTTCATACTAAGAGACCAGGTGAAGAAAGTCTGCAGAAACTGCAGTGCCTCTCACTCAGACATTTGCATTTGTTCAAACAAGCACCTCCTCCAGAGGAATCTGCAGAATTTAGTGCACGTCTTAAAGCAGCTTTACAGTCTAGTGTATTGAAAGAGAATAAGGTGTTACCTGACCCTAAATCAAACCTGGGCCACTGAATCCTAGAATCCAGGGGCATATTTCTGTGCTGCAGTGTTTTTTTATTTTTTTATTTTATGTCTTTTGACAGCTGACAGTTATTGTGGTGTTACATCCCATCCGGAGCAGTGTAGTGTACCACTGAAATACAAGAACTGTGTTTATGGTCAAGTACACTACAGCAGTACTTGCCATTTCAGGTGACTAAAGAAGTAAATCGTTTCAAGTCCATATGTATGTAGCCTTAAGTGCAGAGGCCTTCACAAGTTTGTATTAAATTGTTTAAGTTGTACTGTTTGCTCCAATGTCCTCTCCTTCCATTGAAACAGATAGTCTGTCTCTTCTGTAATTTTTGAATGTTGAAAGGCTGCATGTGCTGTCTATGTTGCTGTGTATGCTTACATGCGTGCTTGTTTATGTGTGTCGCAGCTGGCTCTCCTCAACCCCATACAGAATCCTGACCTGGAACTGGCCATCGTTATGCTCATCGTTCCGTTCTTCGTCAACGTAAGCCCGATGTTCCAATGTGTTTTCCACCACCACTAGCACCACATGTGTCTTGTGCAATTTCCTAATTCATAACTGACATCATGTCTGTTTGTCCATTCAAATTACAGTGCCTTGTGTGTGTATCAATATTAAAAAATCTAGGGGTTTTTTTCCACCAGGGGAAACATCATTCACAAATGTCTTCTGTCTTCCTTTAGGCCCTCATGTTCTGGGTGGTAGATAATTTTCTAATGAAGAAGCACAGGACAAAAGCAAAGCTAGAGGAGAGAGAGGAGGACTGTCGGGGGAACAGTAAGGTGCGCTACAGACGAGCTCTGTCCCATGATGACTCGGAGTCAGAGGTAAGTCTAACTGCACGTCTAACATGCACGTTGCTATCGGAGAAGCCACATGAAAGTATCATGCAATAGAAATCATCAGATATGGTATAAATACCTGGAATTCACTAAAACTACAACAGTTAATTTATTCCGTACCAATTATCTGATACAGCTTTTACTGTATCAGGGTGGCCACACCTTGCCCCCCCTTGGCGGCACCACTGTATTGAGGCGCATTTCTCAAGTGTTGTGTTGTATTTATTTCTGATGGATGATTCTTGCTAGCTGTATTTTGTTGAGTTATTTTGTCAGTGGGCCAATGGTTAGGACGGTTTTAGATCACAAATAGAAATGTGATGCCAAATTACAAACTATTTTAGCATCTGAATGCCAAACCTTCATGGTGTGTTCGACCTCCTTCATGTAGAAGCAGCCGCCTTGAGAGGGCATGCATCGGCACATCCAGTGGCTGGTCTCAGACATGTGGTCCAATGGTTAACGTGTCTGATTATGGATCAGAACACTCTAGAGTTTGAGTCCTGGTTTAGTTTCATAACCTGCCATTTGTATTGACCCATTCAGATCACCTAACACAGTTTTAACCTGTTGTCCCATGCTGGTCTAAAGTGGCTACAGCAGACAGACACCAGCTAAATGTTGTACGAGACGAGAGTCCTTGTAAATTGCCACACTGTCCTTGAATGGTGTATTTTACATCAGTTGTTTTGGTCTCATTTGTTCACATGGTGGGAAGTGGAGGCCCGTGTTCAACAACTTGTATCTAAAAATATCCAAGTGTTGTTTTGAATGACTTTCTGAAACAGGTTCTAAATATTTGAATAAGATGTTGATTCTGTTATAAACCATAGTTGTATTTTCTCCACATGGTTAATACATTTCTAGAAATGGAATTCTGAATAACAAACCTTTTTAACATGTGAAGGTTAAAGTTGTGCAGACAAAAACCAGCTTCACGGTTTCTTTGACTTCCTACATGTGGCAGCAGTGGGCCTAAGAGAGCATGCTGCAGAGCTGTGGGGGATGGTAGAGCTGTGCTGGAACAGATGTATTGGTTAAGCTACACACAGCGGGCCAGTGGCGCAATGGATAACGCGTCTGACTACGGATCAGAAGATTCTAGGTTCGACTCCTGGCTGGCTCGTTTCAGTTTTCTCATCTCAATTTGTGTGAATGACGTTTGTACTGCACGCAGCTGAATAATTATGGAGGACGAGAAATGACTACTTCTTCTGCCTTCAGTAGTTGCTGTTTGCAGTGTTTAGTCAGTTCACACTTAAAAACAACGAGTTCATAGTTCATTATTTATTGGGATGATCCTGAGTCCTGACTGAGTGTTTCGTCTCATGTCGAACTGAGCACAACATGTTGACGAGTCATTTTTCATGATGTTTAAATGAGTCTCATAAACTCTGGAATCAAACAAACACTGAGTTACTTCATGTACTGATCAGGTCCTGATAACTAGTGATGAGTGGTTATTAGTTACAGTGAGAGCCGCTCAGAGTGGAGTTATTTATAATTAATTTAAAAGAAATGAGGAAAAATGAATATGTTTTGGTCAATGATGATACTGTGTCATTGACCACAAAATAAATTCATATATGGTGAAAATGTTTTTGATACATTATGAAACTGTGACAAACTCTCCACCCAGACTATTTCAACGGTGTGTGTGTGTGGGGGGGTGTGTATTCAATCATGGAAGACTTAAAGGTGCAGTGTGTACGATTCAAGTGAAAGGGATCTATTAGCAGAAATGTAATATAAAATAATCCTTGTGATGTTTTCAAAAGTGTGAGATCATCAACACTGTATGAATTGTTTTTTTCTTTACCCTAGAATGGACCCTTTATATTTAAATACTTTATATTTACACTGAACCTTTAAGCAGGCCTTCATGATGTTATCATATACCTGTCTCCCAGTACGCCGTTCACTTCTGAGGCTTCTCTTTCCTGTTTCTTAGATCCTTTTCTCAGCAGATGATGAAATGGATGAGTCAGACGAGGATGATGTTCGTCGGATAACTGGCCTGAAGACAGTGAAGAAGAAGAAGCTTCGCATGGGGATCCCTGTTTGACCTGTGCCTGGCTAAACTGCTTTGATCAAATGTCCTCCGGGGGCTCTTCACCACACAGATCAACATACGTTCCCAGTACCTCCACAGAATCTGATATCGACCTCTTTTCAAACGCAGGATGCCCACTGATGACAGAAGAAAATACTTTTATTGAATTCACTTCACTGTTGACTCCTGAAGAATTCCTGCATAAACACTGTCTAACCTGGGATTCAATTCAACCCACCGGGAGATTTCTTTTTTTGCATCTAAATTCACTTTGGGAAGACAGCTCCATCATGAACCCTTGTTAAATTGTTAAACCGGAAATGTGAGTGAAGTATGAAAAGGGTAACACTGGTATAATACTGTGTGGACCTTGGTGGCATGGTGATGCAGTGGTCCAGGATTATAATGGTTGGACAAATGGGTGGACCAGACCCAAAAATGCAAACAAAACTGTTGATTATATCTAATACTCTAACAAGTTCTCTAAACTGATTGTATCCCTGATGTAGATTCCATATAAACGTTGTGCTTTTGTTTTCTCATGTTAAACGTGCGTGTGTGTATGTATGTTTGCGTGGGGAAGTCAGGACATTTTGTCTGGCCTGCACAGTTTTGAGGGTTAAGACTTTTAACGATTAGGATTATTTAATGTTTAATGGTTACAATGATGTTTAGGCTTTTAGTTGGGATGGGTAGGGAAGGGCTAGAGAATGCATTATGTCAGTGGGGGTCCTCACAAAGACAGAAGAACGTGTGTGTGTGTGTGTCTGATTAGATTGAGTGTTTGAATCATTACTGACGTGACTAACACTTCTGAGCACAATTCCACACTGTACTACTGTAAACTTCATGTGTAATGTTACTCATGTCAAAGGGAGCACATTCATGTTGCAGCAACCTTCCGTTTTTATCTCGTAAAGTCCTTTCAACTGTTACACCTACAGGACTGCAGGTACCACAGTGCAACATGTCAGCTCAGTCAGTATTGTTTGTGGACACGAGACTGCCCTTTGTTTGACCCTTTTACTGACTTGCTCTGACTGCGTGTTCTCTGTCTTGGAACACATTTCGTCTCATTTTGACTGGTTGGGTTTTTATATATGTTTTTGTTGGTGTTATTTTCGGGCCAAAAAGGTGACTATGCTTGTTCCAAAAGTGTTCTTCATTCCTTTACTTTGATGGGAAGAGTAGATATGGGAACAATTTCTTGCACAGTTTCCCATTTATTCTAGCTTTCACCTTTCCTTTTGTGTTTGGTGTGATTTGTTTTTTGTTACAATAATGTGCCTGAGTGCCTGTTTGTTAGATTTCTTTGACTGTTTTATCCAGAGCTCCAGATCATCAGGCATCAAGCAGCATTCAGCAGGCTCTGATGTAAAGAATGTGACATGCATAGACCTCTAAACTGTTAAGTGACTGTCGACCAGGCAGACTAGAGATATGGTGCGCGTGGGTGGATTTTTAGTTTTTCTGTGCGTGTGTGCGTGCGCGTCAGTATATATATATATACATAGTATACCTGTATGCACTGGCCTGGTGGATGCATGTGTGAGTGCTACTTCTCATTAAGAGAGAGTGTGATAAACTGTGACTGCGATCTATGATGACTATGTTGCTGGTGATGATTTCAATATGATGTGTTTGGCCTGTTGCTAAGGAATAAATGAGTTTCCATTTTACATGACTGACGCTACAGCATCTTGCAGCAGTTATGTTAACTAAACCAGGACAAAGGACTTTTAATATTTTGCAAAGTGAAACAAGTGGATGAGTATAAAGGCAAGAGGTGGAGGTAAATTATCATTATAACTGCTTTTTCAATAAAGGGTGTGATAAACCATGTTGAGCCAAATGTTTGATTTGTGTTCTAATGTGAATCTCGTATTGTTTTAGTAAACCAGAAAGTGTTGCCTGACCAAGAACCAAATCCAAGCAACCTGGAATGACCACCAGACGACCAGGGAGGACGGTACCACTATTGGACACTTCAGAAAATTAAATCAAAACAAGCAGTGAAACAACTGTCTCCAGTTGCAGCTTATGACTGAGAACTGTGGGCATTGTTTCGTGGTTTACCACTAGATGGAGCAGCAGATTTTAGAAGAGGCCTGGTTATAACTGAACCTTAAGTCATGGCTGTGTCTCCAGAAATAGATCCAACTAGAACTTCTAATAGCTTCTTACAAAAGCTTAAGAAAAGACACAGGCGCACAGTTAGTGGGTGGAGTCATGATAATCCACTACATCCTGACTCATCGGCTCCACTTAAATACACTCTTAAGTTTCCATGTCGCACTGTCACAGGTCACGCTGTGATCTCATTCCCTGCCTCACACAACTATATCATATGTTGTCTTTGTTGTTTTTGTTTTCCCTTCATCCCTAGTAACACTGAGTTGGTGTAGGAGCCACTTGTGGAGCCTCAACTGCAGGTTGTATTATAATATTTAAGGTTAGAGAGACAGACCCATTTATTAATTCATCTTTATTCCTTTCTAATTCATTTCCTACTTTTGATTTTACGTGAGACATTTTCTTTTGTTCAGTTTGTCAATGATTTATGTATGTGTATGAAATCAAAGCTATGTGTGGTTAATACACATGAATATAAGTTATTAAATCAAACAAAAAATACCCACCCTCTGCTGATAGTATTGCAATAAACCCAAAAGGATCCTAGTTTATTAATACTTTATTAATACCCTATTTAGGCTATATAAGCTTTAGTTAAACAATAAAGTGCTGTACAATACTATACTGTTGTATTATGGTAATTCTGACAAGATTCAGTAGAGAGAATCACATACAGGAGGAATGAGTTAGTCACTGAGTGTGTGAGTCAGTGGGTCTTTCATTTGAAATGGAGTCAACACCTCAGTCCAACTTCCCTGACTGTTGTTTCCTGATATGTTTGCTTACTTGTTTCAGCCTAAAATTAAAACTTCTCATTATGAGAATCCAATTAGTAAAAAAATCCCTAGATAATACAAACAAAATAACATTGAGAATTGAGTGTCACAATCACAATGTACATTGGATAAACCTAGAAAATAATGTGATTTATACATTTAACAGAATAAATGCTCTAAGTGATATTATATTTATTACTTCACCTGCAGGGGGATTTAGTTTGCTCTGGATTTAAGCAGTGAGAAACTGTGCCACCTGTTTCCTGAATATCAGCTGTCGGCCTGGAACTTTATCGTAAAAGATGGGAGTCCCGTTCCAGCCGTAAGCATCCCTCACGTCACACCTAATAATACACACTGACAACAGGCAGAGCAGGGCAGTGGGCAGCTGCTCTGACTGACTCACTGGGTCTGGACCAGGACTATATATATATATGATGGCAGGCATGTTGGGAGACAAAGACACACAGTTGAAAAACAGCAGCGACAGTGTCACACTGGAGAGGCCGCCTGTTGGATTAATACAACAAATTCACTCACCATGTCACAGGTAAGTTACAGATTACTTAACTAAATCTTAGACATTACCCCAGATATCAACAATACCATGATTTTGTGTCTTTTATTTCCACCTTTAACATTCATAATCTTCTTTCTTTTCCAAACACCAGCCAGGCGAGGTGAAGAAGAAGAAGCGTCCCCCTATGAAGGAGGAGGACCTGAAAGGAGCCCGCAGTAAACTGGGACTGAAGGGCGAGGTCAAGAGTAAGACCTATGAGGTCATGATGGAGTGTGGTGAGCACAGCCTCTTACCAGCGACATGTAAAAACACAACACGGGGTCAGATGTTGACTCTAAAAACATAGATTTACTCAATAGATACATTGAAGAGGATATATAAATAAATAAGCATACATACCAGTAAAGTATTAGAAATATATAAATAGAGTAAATAAATTGAGAGTACTGCTTTACCTGAATGACCAGATTTAGCTCTAATCTCTTTGTACTTTGTACTTTAATTTTGTTCTCCTTCTACTGGACTGAAGCTTCATGCTGTGCCCAGTTCCAAGTGTCTTTATGGATGAAATGTAGAAATACGGAAGTTAATAACTGTAGATTATTTCCCAATTGATTATCTACTTACATGTTCATGCATTTATTTGTATTTGTATTTTTATATTCAAATAATACTTATGAGGTATTGATTTATTTCTGTGTTCCACTATTTTGTCAGTCTTGTGTATGTATTAGTGAATCATAATGTATCTATCACAAGTTACTTCCCACTGCAGATCTGTTTACTTTAGTCTGAGGAACTCACATTCTACAGTTTGAAGAGGTTAAAATTTCAAACAAGTCACAGACGTGCTGAGAAAAAACTAGTTCCCTGACCGGGAATCGAACCCGGGCCGCGGCGGTGAGAGCGCCGAATCCTAACCACTAGACCACCAGGGACGGTTGAACGCTGTAAAATAGAAATGTTTCTCGAATCTGCTGTTCTCTGTTCTTTATACTTGTTCCGTCGTCATTGAATCAACACGCCAACCACCACTTGGCTCTCCCCTGTTACATTCAAACCTGTCCCCCTCTAAACAATGGCAGGTAGGAACTAATGAACCCCTTGGCAGAGGGACATGCAGCTGCAGCTTCACATGAAAATATAAAAGTGAAATAATCATTAGTGCTATGAATGATTATTAAACAATGATGTATTTACACTAAACCTAAATCTGCAGGTGCACAGTAATGTTGTGGGATTATTGCTACTGAGATAAATAATGAACCCAGTAACCCAAACAGCTCAATAAGAAAGAATGAAATCTGCAAAACTTAAGTTGTTAGAATAACCCAAATATAATGTGTACGGACACAGTATAGACATCTAGTGGTGAGGTTGCATGTTGCAGCTGAATACCCCTCACCTCACCCTCCCCTTTCTAAACGAAGGAGAACCTGTGGTACCTTCAGTTATAAAAACTCAAAAGGTTAAGTTTGTCCCGTTTGGGCTACCGTAAAAAACATGGTGGGCTCTGTAGAGAGGACCCACTCTAGATGTTAATATAACTTATTTAAATGTAAAAGGCCCAATCTAGGGTTAAGAAAACAATTAGTACAATTTAGATGAAACACACTAGTGAAAGTAGAAGATCACCAGGATTGTTTTATATTACATTTCTGCCAATAGATCCCTTTCACCTAAATATTACAAAATGTATCTTTAAAGCCTGCAAATGAATTAATATTTGGTCATTATGNTTTTATATTACATTTCTGCCAATAGATCCCTTTCACCTAAATATTACAAAATGTATCTTTAAAGCCTGCAAATGAATTAATATTTGGTCATTATGATCAGGACTGATGATTGTTAAAAAATGCAACTAAGTAAAAGTTTATAAATATTTCTAACAACTTTGTTTCGCAGATGTTTTTGTCGTCTAACATCTCCAGATACACTGTTTTTAAATTGGTGCACTAGGGTTGAATACTTTAATTCAGTAAACTGACAGTAACATGAGTGTCTGTGTCTCTTTCCATGTTCAGAGCGTATGGGCAAAGTGGCTCCGTCTGTGTTCAGTGGTGTGAGGTCAGGGACGGAGACGGCCCTGGACAAGCCTACTGCTGCCAAAGCTCCAGGAGCCAGTGTGTTCAGCAAGTAGAAACTGCAGGACAGAAGAGAGAGAGAGCTGTGGAAAACATACACGACAGTCTTTAAGTGTTTGATGATATGGATTAAAAACAGAGGGTTTTATCACATTTTAGTAGAGATCATGGTTTTAGAGATAGTTGCTTAATGCTGTGGGAGTGTGTTGACTTTGTTGCTATGTAAGCAGTGACTGTACTTTGTTGTTTGAACAGTGCATCAGACATCAGATTTTGATTAAAGTGGCTCATGCTTTGGATTGATTGCATCATTGATATATCAGTAGAGACTTAGCTTTTAAAAATATATATATTTACCTATTATTTCTGCTTTTACTCGACCACTTCCTTCTTAAATATTTTCCCCTTATATTAAAATATAATTTTTTTTATTATCATAGTTTGTTTGTAGTAAATTATATTTGGGGCTTGAAATGACTAAATGCAGTAAAGAGTAATCATGGCAGGTTACCTCAGGTCTTTTGTCACTGTTACTCCAATAGCTCCAAAAAGCACATAGCTTCTGTTTGCACTCGTATACAATATAAATGGCACGCAATAGACCTGACGACTAATTGTTATAAAAGTCAGAGCTCAAGATGATTTGGGCTTTAATGTTTTCAGGTGTTTTGAATTTATAGAAGAAAGTGTTTATTTGATTATCTACCACCGTCTCATTCATATATGTACAACAGTAGCTCTCCATACTGGATGTATCTGAATTCACTGTGTTATTGTTCATCTTGTAATTTTAAACTTTAATTAATAAATTCAATCTTTTGTCAACATATGATTATTTTTGATACGTTTTTGATTACTATTGCAATAATGTTTAAGCTGCAATGAAGAGTCTTTCTTGTTTTAACAGTGCATTACATGACTACATGTATGTGACAGGGGTCATTGGTTGTAACACATGTGATCTCTATCATCACTGGACTCTGCAGTTCTCCTGAAGAAGTGCACAGTGGAAAACTAGCTTTAACCTTTACAGTCACCAGGTGGCCAAGACACAACTCCTAATCAATACTAATGTTACCCTTTTATACAGAAGTGTTATAGATCTTGCAAACAAGATTTCATTATCAACCCAGCTTGTTATTTCTGCAAATGTCTTAATTACTTCATGCACCACTGAACTGTCTTAAGGCCTCATCTTCATATAGTTTTAAAGGTTCAGTGTGTTTTACGTTTCAGCTGAGTTATGAAATTCGTGGTGCAGACCCCAAAGGTTTGATATCATATTCAAGTCTGCAAAACATTGCACATTATTGATTTCTGAATCCTTTAACCTACTGTGGACAATGACTCATCAGATGTGCAGAGTGCACTCCCACCTGTGTTTGTTCACAAGGTTCATAGTGCAGCCCAAATCAACATGTGTTGATAATCCATGATGTGAGGAACACATTTACTGCAAAAGGCACCTTGTAGTCCAGTTATGTAATTAGCCCTCTATAACACATTCATCTACGTGCTACCTGCTGGTCAAATCTAAACCTTACTTTTTTCAGTAGTTGCATTAAAAAAAACATACAAGAGAGTCTTTCTGGTTTCAGACAGCTGCCGACTGTTCGCTCCCGCTGGGAAATGATGTAAACACCCACACATCAAGTGAAGCAGCACAAGACATTCAGTGAAAGGGTGAAAGGAAGAGGAAGAACGCATTGACCTAACGCCAGATTAGGGTTAGAACAAACCTAACTGATGTTGATGAATGGATGAACAAATAGTGTTTTATTCAGAAACACACATGTAAAATACACTTAAAATAACTCCAAAAGACATTCTGACATGAGCAACCAAACATCACAGTAACTGATGGAATAAATGCTTCATATTGACCTTAAATCCATTTAGACACTAACATTGTTCTTTATGTTGAGGCTCTGCAGGTTGGTCATGAACAGTCGCACACTGCAGATTGAGCACAGACATTTCTTTCACAATTTTGCAAGCAGCAGCACTTCTAACTCAGGGCCTTCTGACCACTGAGCTCAGGTCTGTTTCTGGTTGTCAATAGTGCAGGAGAAAAACACACACACACACACACACACACACACAC